TCTCTGTGGCAGATCAAAATCCCTCTCCTTCACTCCTTCTCCTGCCACAGCAGAACTGGACTTCCTCTGGACAAACATACCAGCCTCTGAACAGAAAACAAGATGGAGTGGCACCACGGGAGCCTGCCACTTCCGAACAGTGCTGTTTTGAGGTGTGCCAGCCCCAACCCTAGAAATGAACACCAGTACCAGAGCCTGCCAACCAGAGGAATGACAGAAATGCACGAGTGCTGCCCTCCACCTGGGAGTACCACCCACAAGAAATGCAGCTGCCCCTGCAGTCTGTGATCCCAAATCCTATCCCAGCAAATAGCAGACCCACATGGGATGCTGCCCTCTGTCTCAGCTGGCTGTGCCTTTGGAAGAGCCCCATTCTCTCCACCTAGGATTGGTCTCACCAATTGCAGCCCTACGGACATTTAGCGTCTTTAGTGCAAAGTAACTTACTCTCCACACGGGACTGTACCTATAAAAATTGTAGTTTGAGGTCCCAGACACACCTGACCAGGAAATGGCTCCCATTATCCGATACAATGGTTTTCAATGCTGGCTACACAATAGAATCACCAGGAGGCTTTAAAAACAAACAACAACAACAAAAAAGAAACCTGGAGCTCCATCCTAAGGAACTGTTTATTACTTGTCTGGAGGGGGCAGAGTATCACTGTTTACTGAAAGCATCCTGACGATCCTGTGACTTCATAACCCCTGGTCCAGTGTGGTATCCCTAGGCTCATCATTTCCATTTGACCTAAGGCCTCTCCCAAAGCTGCAGCTTTGCAGTCCACACTAGGACTTAACCAGCCAGTCCTGTACCTGCAGGCTCACTCACTGATGCTGCCAAAGCCCTGCCTGATGGAGAGCAAATGGTGGACAGAAGCCTGAACTCCGCATGCCTGGTTCTCTGTCCCGCCATATCTTCTCCATGAGTAATGTGGCTTTCATTCACAAGATGGAAACCACCCCTGTACATTCACAGCCCTTTCTTCCTCCCTGACCTGTCAAGCTATAGCCACAGAGAGCATGACCTAATCACTGCACATGGCCACCACATCCAGGTCCCCATTCCCTTCAGGTGTCAATAATGAAAGAAGATGGAGAAGGGGGAACATCTCTGCTAATTCCTGTTGAATTCAGAAGTCCTGAACTGCTTCTGTAGTAGCCATCCATTCCACTTGATATTGCTTGTTACTCTCTCCTCCACTAAACTACAAGCACTGCAAAAACTGGAGCAGCGCCTGGTCCTTAGTAGGTGCTCCATGAATGTTTGCTTGATAGCTGAATGAGCAACTGAATGACTAGCTGGAGAGGAGCTGTTTCCATGATCAGAGTGGAAAAGATGAAGCGATGGCCTCACTGTTCGAGCCCATATGTAACACGGATCATTGGAACCACAAGCAGAGGGTCAGAGGAGCAGAACTCGCAATTTTCACCTGAAAACTCAACGTTTGTTGTTTTTCATTACTTGAGCACAGCCTTCCTTTATTCTTCAAGGCACCTAAACTTTTCTTACGTCTTTACACTCCGTTTCTGGTTTTCTTCTTACACCCACACAGCAGCGCCCTGCTTGCTCTGTCTGCCTGCTTTGCCTTCCCCACTTCCAGCTCCCTGCAGCCCATCCTCTGTCCTCCTCCCGGCAACAGGGGGAACTCTTCCCAGCTCTACAGTGTAGTTGAAGGGAGATTAGCTAAATGTGCAGTAAGTCCTTGCTTACTCCTTTTCCGACTTCTACAGTGTAGTGAAAGTGCTGAGCACTAAGACTGCTTATCCACAAGGCATTTTGAGTAATGGCATGTTTATCTTAGAATTCCACCCTAAATGGTGATTGTACTGACATAAGTGGGAGAGAGAAGCCAAGGTGCTTCAGTAATCATACGGTGCCAGAGGCTGTGCTGCCAGCACATGACTTGGGGCAGCTGAGCCTGGTGCCTCTGTCCTTAAGGACTGGGTTCAAGAGGAATATCGACAACAGGATGAAGAGCAGCTCACTCTAGGTAACTTGGTACCTTTTGAAATACTGTTGCATTCTTTCTGTTCGACGTTAATTACTATTAAGGATTCCCTCTGTGGCTGTAAAGAGTGTAGGATCTGAAATGTGAACAGCCATTTGAGTTTCTGCAAAGGCCCTGCAGAGAAAGATGGAGAAGATCAACGGGGTCAGCAGTATGGGGACCCATTGATGTGAGTTGTGTCGAAGATTGCTAAGATCCCAGTCCAGCAGCATCTATTCCACCTATATACTGATGCCTTTGTCCTTTTGGCTTAAGATAGTATTTTTCAAAATATTGTCCATGGACTACCTGTTTTAGAATAATATAGTGGTGTTCCTTAGAAATGAAACAAGACACCACATTCCTGAGCCCCAGATCAACAAAGCAGAGTCTCTGGGTGAGGTTTTGAACTTACCTTGACCAAACTGCTCAGCTCATCCTTTTGAACCATGAAGTCTAGACTGCTGGCTTGACTTACCAACTATTAAGTTTCAAATACTTCCAAAAAGCAATGGCACTATGAGCGGATATTGGTCATTTTTCTTGAAATATCTGAGATCAGGTTATGATAAAGTAATTGAAAAGAGTGTGAGGATACAAATATCTAAGGGAAGAACTAGGACACCACCAAGGAGGGAATAAGGAGAGAATGGCCAGAGAGCCCTTTGCGTTATCCTTTTGTGCCAGGTTATACATCATTGGTCATAGTTTAATTCAGTTCCAAGAGCGCATATTGAGTCCTATGTGCCTGGCACTAGGGATAAAGAGAAACAGAACAGATTCACAATCCTAGGGGAGTGTACAGTTTGGGAAAGGAAGCAGGCCCAGAGGGCTGAGAAGAAGGGCTCCTAGGAAATAAGAAGAAGTTAGGTTCACCGACACAGCTCCTAGGGCAATGGAAACTAAAGAGAAAATAAACAAATGGGACTACATCAAAATAAAAAGCTCTTGCACAGCAAAAGAAACCATCAACAAAACAACAAGAAAGCCCAATGCATGGGAGGACATATTTGCCAATGCTATCTCTGATAAGGGTTTAATCTCCAACATTTACAGGGAACTCATACAACTTAAAAGGAAGATAAACAATCCAATCAAAAAATGGGCAACGGACCAAAGTAGATACTTTTCAAAAGAGGACATACAGAAAGCCAAGAGACATATGAAATCATGTTTAAAGTCACTAATTATCCAAGAGATGCAAGTCAAAATGACAGTGAGGTACCATCTCACACCTGTCAGAATGGCTATCATCAACAAACGACAAGTACTGGCAAGGATGTGGAGTAAAAGGAACCCTCATACATTGCTGATGGAAATGCAGACTGGTGCAGCCACTGTGGAGAACAGTATGGAGTTTCCTCAAAAAACTAAAAATGGAACTCCCATTTGACCCAGTGATCCCACTTCTAGGAATATATCCCAAGAAACTAGAAACACCAATCAGAAAGGATATATGCACCCCTATGTTCATAGCAGCACAATTTACCATAGCTAAGATTTGGAAACAGCCTAAGTGCCCATCAGCAGATGAGTGGATTAAAAAATTCTGGTACATCTACACAATGGAATGCTACACTGCTGTGAAAAGGAAGGAATTCTTACCATTTGCAACATCATGGATGGGCCTGGAGAGCATTATGCTAAGCGAAATAAGTCAGTTGGAGAAAGATAAATATCACATGATCTCACTCATTGGTAGAATATAATGAACAACATAAACTGAACAGATCCAGAGACAGAGAAGCATCGATCAGACCTCAAACCTCAGAGGGAAGTCAGGGGAGGGAGGGGGAAGGGGGAGAGATCAACCAAAGGACTTATATGCATGCATAATAGTATAAGTATAACCAATGGACACAGACACCAGGGGGGGGAGGGCATGGGGGGGGGATGAAGGGATAAGGACACATGTAATACTTTAATCAATAAAGAAAATATTTTTTTTAAAAAAAGGAAGAAGTTAGACAGGTGAGGGTGGGGGAGCTTTTGAGAAGGAAATAAAGTGGGGGCGGCGGGGGGGGAAGGAGCTGGTAGGAAATGGAGCATGTTCCCAACAGAGGGTGACCTGCACAACCAAAGGTATAAGGAATGGAGAAAAATAATCATGATCCTGGGTAGGTGGACACGGGACAGATCAAGGAGACATGTGGAAGTCCTTTTTTTGCTAGACATCTAGAAGACTTCTTGGATCAGTCCTTCAAATTCATTCAAACTTATGGTCTCAAACTGTTTATTACAGTTGCTCCAAAAACATATTACAACCAGTTTATAGGTCCTCTCTGGGACATTGTGTGTGGGATTTCCATAACTAACAAGTTGACAATAATATAAAAAATTATTTAATATAACCCTGACCAAGTGGCTCAGTTAGTTAAAACATCGTCCCATATACCAAAAGGTTGCAGGTTCTATTCCCAGTCAAGACACATATCTAGGTTGTGGGTTCAATACCTGGTTGGGTTGTGTATGAGAGGCAAGCAATCAATGTTTCTCTAACATTGATCTCTCTCTCGCTCTCTCTCGCTCTCTCTCTCTCTGTCTCTTCCTCCCCCCCCACCTTCCTCTCTTTCTAAAAATCAATAAAAACATATCCTTGGGTGAGGATTAAAAAATGTTCAATATAGATTTGAGAATTTTTTAACTATCATTGGAAACATACATGAAAAATAGAAATATTAATCACCTCTCGAGAGGGAGATTGAAAACAGAGGTAGGAGAAATTTACCTCTCACTATATACCCTTTTAGACTGTTTGAATTGTTTACATGTATATTCATTGCCTATCCAAACAAGTTTAAAAGAGAACTAAAGAAACACATTTATTTCATAGCATAAAGAAGTATGTGTCAACATGTGAGTAATTTAATTTCTATTTAAAGCCAAATTAATGTTACCACAGTGACAGCAATAGTATCTTTAGTTTTGTTTTTCGTAGCTTAAGAAAAAAATGGGATTGGGCAAATACAAATGTTTATATTCTCTATAAAACTGGCTTCTTTTTTCCAGTTTGCAGCACATCTTGTGAAGATGAAATATCCAAGAGTCTGTATTCTAGATGGTGGCATTAATAAGATCAAGCCAACAGGCCTCCTCACCGTGCCCTCTCCTCAAATCTGAAGAACCAGGAGGATGACTGTCAAAAGGACAGAGAGGCATCAGCTCCCAGCAGCGCAGCTCCTCACAGCCTTACCGCGCGAAGACAGAACTAGGCTTCGGAGTGTTACATTTCCATACAGTGTTGTCATGAGACTTTTTTTTTAATCTCATGACCCAAATGTTCAACTACCCAGCAACAAACTTGACTGCACATGTGTTGTTGAAAGAATTTTCTTAACAGTGAAATCTGATCATGTATTTTTAGCACATTGCGACAATAAGCCAGAATTCAGCTGACAAGGCAGACGTAGCATTATCAAGAAATCTTACTTGCACTAAAAAAAGCTGTCTTCCATTGCACTGAACAGACAGCCCTAACAAAGGCATTTAGAAATATAGATTGAATGTGAGCTGAAATCATCGTTCCATGGTAATGAAAAGTGAAAGGCTATTCATAATGCATTCCTTATAAGTAAATGCTACATTTCTAACTCATTTTTGGCCCAGACAAGTTGTGTGTGTGTGTGTGTGTGTGTGTGTGTGTGTGTGTGTGTTTAGAGGAAGAAGAATTTACTCATTGAAAAAAGTAATAATAGTCTTACAGAAATGTGAAACCATTCAAATTAGATAGAATATTTGTTCAGCTTCTGTAGCAGAGAAACCCCAAATAAGAGTGACTTAAACAAACTAGAACTTTCTTTCCATCTCACTTTGTCAGTCTAGGGACAGTATGTTTTTTCATAATAACTAAGAACTCAGGTGTCTTACTGTTTTACCACCCCCAACACACTGTTTCCATCTCATGGATCAATATGGCTGCTCAACTCTCACCATCACATCTGCAATTCAGAAGGAAGAAAGGAAGGAAAGAAGTTTGGAGGGGAGAAAGAAGGAAGGAAGAAAAGATGAAAGAGAAGAGAGAATATGCTTCTTCTCTAAGGACAAAAAAAACAGAAGTTGCACATATGATTTCCATTTACATACCATTGGCCAGAACTTAAATATATGGCCACACCTAGCTATAAGGAAAACTAGGAGTATAGCCTTTGGCTGAGTGGCCATTTACCCAGCTTAAAAGAAAAAAAAAATCTGATAAAAGGAGGTCACATATTGAAGAACATCTAGCAGCCTCTGCCACATTATTCTAAAAATTAACTACTATACTTCACTGAATCATAAACATACCACAATTTTATGTACCATGAAGGAAGAAAAATGCAGCCAAATAAACTGTGACACAGCATCCTATATAATAAAAGCCTAATATGCAAATTGCCCCCTAGACTGGGAGTTCAACCAGGGGTTGGGGCTGGCTGACCAACTGTGGGAAGGGAAGCCTTGGCTGGTAGCGGCAGTAGGCAGCCAGGTGAAGGGAGGCCCCAGCCAGCAGCCAGCAGCTGCTAGGGACCCTAGCCATGCATGAATTTTGTGCACTGGGCCTCTAGTCAATTATAAGATGCATCCCCATTTCAAAAATGTGAAAAATATGCATCTTAGCATTATTGAAATAGAGTATATCTATGACTATCTTCAATTTTATTTTAACTAAAACATGTTCTTTCATCTTTAACTTATGTTCCTCTGTAGTGTTAGGACTACCTAGGAAGAACATTTTAATAAGAGCCTCAATTCAACTTTCTGGGCTATGGTTTTATTGTTGCTGTTTGTGTTGAGTTTTTGTATCTATTTTTTTTATTGAGATAATTTACATACCATAAAATTCACTTTTTAAAATGTACAATTCAGCATTTTTTCGTATGTTCACAAAATTGTGTAATCATCAAATTTCAGAACATTTTCATCACCCCAATAAAGAAACCCTGTACCTGTTAGCAATCGTTCCCCCTTAATCCTTTCCAAGGTCTTTCATTTAATTGTATATAGAGTGTGATTGATTTCTAACTAACTTTATTCTTGCATGTGGGTATCAAGTTGTCCCATGGGCCAGTACATTTTGTTTGTTTTTCTCAATTAAATTATAGTAATTCACCAAATATGTTTGGATACATACTATGTGCAAGACACTGACATAACTAATAATTATATTATTCTGAGATACCCTACATTATATACAAAAAAAATTGTAAGAATAAACAAGAAAACAAAAGTTTGCCACAATTTCTCTAACATCATTTTTGGACTGTCATCTTCCCTGGTTAGAGAAGTATTAAATTCTCCTATCCTTTCCTTCAATCTTGGATGACTTCTGTGACTTCATGGTCATAATGCAGCACTGGTGACCATTTGGAAAGAGGGTCTGAGTCCTAACTTAGCCTTACTGGAAAGCAGAGAAGGATGGATGGGTGGGAATTTGGATTAAATAGATGGTAGGTAGTGGGAGAGGATAAAGACCTAGTGCTGGAGGAGAGTTGTGTGAGAAGATAATAGTAGCTAACCTTCATCACAATTTTGCATTTATTCTTTCTTAAAACTTGATACATGCTGAAAAAAATGGAAGGTTACTAAACATTCAAGTTATAAATAACATTTAATGTTCTCAACAGTAAAAAATGAAATAGCATAAAATCACTGCCAGGTGTACATACAGAGCATGGTATTCAATAACAGATGGTTTCAACAATAGTGACCTCAACAACTATTTGTTGAAATAAACTGTATAAACCACAATTTATAGAGGTACTTGTAATTATATTATTGACTTCTACATTATCACTGTCAGCACTGTTTTTTGTTGTTGTTGTTTTCTGGCATCAGCAGTCTCTTCCTTCTTCCTGGAATGCCCTTAAGACCTCTACTGGCCCCATAGACACACACACACACACACACACACACACACACACACACACACACACACACACACACACACACACACTGTCTCTCTCTTCATAATTCTACATCAGTAACATCTCCTCTAGGCTCTGACTTTCCCATGCTAGCCTAAGAGCCTCCAATCTGTCAAAGTATCTCATTTATCCTTGTAATAATAGACTTATTACATCATTTTGCAATTATCTGTTCACATTTGGGCCTGATATTAAAATATGAGCTCCCTTAATGTCAGAGACCATAATGTACAACTCTTGTTTTTCACCAACCCATTGCACTGGAGATGCTTGATAAATATAAAATTGAATTGAATGGAATCTCCAGCGTAGGGATTTTAGGATCTCTTATGGATAGAAAAATATTAAAACAACCCAGGTAATTTTTTTCAAGTGTCAAACTTACCTGGTACCTGATGAAGAAAAATAAATTAAAACTCAATTCACTGAGTGAAGAAAGGATCTCTAATGTACCACCCAGCTCTAAAATGTTATAATCCCAGACGTTGGAACAAATAACTTCCAGCAACAGGGTAGGCTAAGCTAGAGGCATCCCTTTTCCAAAACACAGAAATTCTAGACTAAAAAAGAATATTAAAAGTCTTTAATACTTTACCAAAGTTGAAAAAAAAAGAAATTCTTTGATGTGAGATAAAAAGAGGAACTGACACACTATCTGGCCCATAGGATATCAGATCTATATAATAAAAGCCTAAGTGACCTTTATGGTGGAACAACTGGAATGACCTGTTACTATGATGTGCACTGACCACCAGGAGGCAGATGCTTAGCGCAGGAGCTGCCTGCTGGTGGTCAGTGCGCTCCCACAGGGGAAGCACCACTCAACCAGAAGCCCAGCTCATGGCTGGCGAGTGCAGCAGCAGTGGTGGGAGCCTCTCCCCCTCTGCGGCAGCACTAAGCGGTAAGTAGCAAAGGGTCCCGGACTGGGAGAGGGTGCAGGCCAGGCTGAGGGAATCCCCCTCACCCCCCCACTCAGTGTAGGAATTTCATGCACCAGGCTTCTAGTCTAATCTAATAAAAGAGAAACATGAAATTGACAGTACCTTTGCTACACCCAAAGCCACACCCACCAACCAATCAGAGCGACTATATGCAAATTAACCCAACCAAGATGGCGGCCGGCAGCCACGGAGCTGGAGCAAGCAGGAGGCTTGGTTGCACCGGCGATGGAGGAAGCCAAGCTTCCTGCCTGCTCTGGCCGGCTGTGGCCTCTGCAAAAGGCAACAAAGTTTCAATTATAGAAGATAAATAAATCCCAGATACCTGCTTCCAGCCAGCCTCCACTGGGAGCTTGGGTGGCTGGGGGCTGTGGCCAGCCTGCAAACAGCCATCAGCCCCTCACCCAGG